GATAGCGTATTCAAGTTCTAGAGATCCCACGTAGCCTATGAATTCGACCTGTCTACTCTAATTTTGAATTTAGCCACCAGATAGCGTATTCAAGTGCTAGAAATCCCAATAATACTAACAGAATCAAAGGACTAAGATAACCTTAAATAATATATCCTTAAATTGACAATAAAAAAATGATAAATAACTAAATAAACTACTTTATTTTTCTAGTTTAAGAAAATCAAGTGAAATAAATCAATTTTTATTTAGATCTGTCGTAAGATTTTTCTTATCCAATTACATTTACATTTCAAATTCTTATTTTATTTTACATACGTGTGTGTGTGTGTGTGTGTGTGTGTGTCGCGTGAGTTTACGTATCTTACGATTACAGAAAGTAAATATGGATTCGTAATAAGGACGAAAGGAGAAGTTTATGAATCGTTAAGTTGGAAGGGAAAGCGTTTTCATAAGACTGGGAACACGTGACAGGGATAATTTACAGTAGTAACCCCCTACCCCATCATCCCCTTTACTCGTCCCTTTTCCTTCATCTTAGTGGACGACAATAGAATATCATAATATAGTAACCGCATATATACAGTAATAATAATAGTAGTAATAATAGTAGACTTCTTGGTATTTGTTGGGGAGTATAAAAAAAAAAAATAAGAAAATGTGTACTTCGCGTTTGAGATTAGATATTCGTGCGACAAAAGGGATGAAAAGGGAAAAGGGGAGGGTTAAGGAAACGGGTAATAAAAAAAGAATAATAATAACGGGTTATTATTCTTATTTTAAGAATCTAATTTACGTGTTTAGAGAAGAGTGGATTTATTATTCGAAATAACTGTATTTTTGTAATAATATCAAATGAAGAAAGGAAAAATATTTGATTAATATGATACTTGATAGTTTGCCAAAAATACACGTTTGGTGAGAGGGTCAAAACAAATGTAAACACACACGTGTGTGTGTGTGTATGTGTGAGCTGGTGATAGGTTTTATCTTGTTACTTTAAATCATTATTTGTTACATTATTGAAACTTTGATTTGAAATCTTTTATATATATATATATATACATTATATTTATATAATATTATTATTATAATATATTAATTAATAGATTATTACTATAGTGTACTATAAGTAATATTATATTACTAATATAGTATTGTTACTAATTATATTATAATAGTATAATTACTAATACTACAGTATAATATAATATAATATATAATAGTAAATAATATAGTAATAATATAGTATAAGTAAAATTACTAATTATACTATATTAATATATTAATATAAAAATAATAAAAAAAAAAATAATATAGAAAAATATTATATAAAGATTACAATATATATTAATATAGTACCTATATAACAATATTATTTTAACATTACTATTATTATTACTATTACTATTAATTTTAAAAATAAAAAGTGAGAGAGAGAATATAAATTTCATTCATAACATTCATTTGGATGCACATAAATGCATTTATATGTCAATTATTCCATTGTCCCCCTAAACTTAAGTACTTCAAAACTTTTCCAATTGTTCTTACAAATCTTCTTCATTATCAAAAATTTATTTAAAAAAAAAAAAAAAAAAAAAGGGAAAAGATTAGCGAATTAATAAGATTTCATTTTTGTTTGTTTGCAGATATCAACTTTTTACGTTAGATCAAGAAACAATTATCGTGCAAGTATCATCGTCATAATTATCGTCAGCAGCAGCATCATCAACAGAAGCAGTAACATCAGTGATAACAGCAAGTGTTTTTGAAAGGACAATAATTTTTCATTGAAAACAAATTTGACAATGAACAAGGAACCATCGTGTTGGGGTAGAGGGTGCCTCGCGTGACACACGTCTTTCCTCGTTTCATTTTCAACAGGAGACGAAGTGTCCTGGTCTCGTTCGACCACCGCTTCGTCTCCTTCTTCTTCTTCTTCTTCTCTTCTTCTTCCTTTTCTTAATCTACTATTTCTATAATTATTATTATTATTTGTTTTTTTTAATCATATTTTTTCTTTTCCACTTATTCTTATTTTCATCGTCATTATCTTCATCGTCAAGAAAAAAAAAAAAAAAAGAATTGATCATTTATTATTTTCATTTTATTTTCTTTCAATTTGTTATCCTTAACGTTGGATAAGCAACAATAAGCACCTTACAAGACGAGGATAAGCGTACCAGGGTGGGACGATTAGTATGACGGTGATGCTGCTGCAACGTTCGGTCACCCCGCAGTCGACGCACCGCCAAAAGACAGCGAAGGAGGACGACTGCAGTATCAAACCGCCATTTATTTTTTTGTTGGACGATCGTCATCAACAGGAGCATAGACGATTTACTGAATCCTCCATCATCACGACCACTAATAATAATAATAATAATAATAATAACAATAATAACAATAATATCATCAATAATTTCAACAACAATAACAACAACAACTACGAAAACAGTTACACTCCTACGACCAATAACAATAATAATATTAATAATAATAACAATAATAATAATAATAATAATATTAATAATAATTACGAAAGCGAGAAAAAAAGTACAACAATAGTGAAGAGGAGCGTACGTAGGAGCAGCGGAAGCCGCGAATACGCGCTCGAGGAGGCCCCGATTTCGGTGACGTCTTCGCAAAGACGCACCGCCATTGGCCAGGAGGTCGCAATGCGATATTATCGGATTTGGATTTACGCCTGTAACGGGGTATTGTTCATCAGCGCGGCAGCATTTGCCGCGGTAGTATCCATGTCTATAATATTTACCGGTGATCCTAGAAGACACGTGATACCTGGCGTACCAAGGGCCTTCGATCCTACGGCACTTTATGCTTATCTAGCATTGGGCACACAATTGGGACTAGTACAATTACTTGGTTGCGTTGCCGTTAAAAAATTAAACGCTAAATTGTTACACGTATATTGGGTATTACTTTTGGTACTGTTATTAGGTGACATCGTTATTGGTATCGTTTGGGTCTTCCGTTCCAAAGAAATGAACAACCAATTGAAGCCCACCCTAAGCCTACGATTACAGGTTAGATTTATTTTATACATCTTATGATATATTCTTACATTAAGCTTCATTATTATTATTATTAAGGTTCATTAGTTTAATTTTTGTTTTTTTAAAGATATGCGTAATTGATTGTTTTATTTCTTATTCTTTTTGTTTTTGCTTAAGTTTAATTTGGTAATAGTAATTTAATAAAAAAAAATGGCGTCATCCTAATATTGGCTTGTCCGAAAAGTTCGTGCCAATTTTAACGGAAAATAGAAATTTAAGTTTTTTTTTTGGTATATATATATATTATTTATTAAATTATATATAAGTGCCATTTTGTTCCACAACCTTTCTCCATCTTTAAAGATAACTTACAAAATTTCGTTCTTCCAGAAACTTTTCAGGTTTTTTAGCAAAAGAACTTCATGCCATCTACCGTAAATCGGCACGAACTTTCCAGACAATCCAATATTTATGTTACTTTTTTTTTTAGATTAAATCGGATTTGTTTTCATTTGACTCTTTCAATTCTATCGGAGCGCATATATGCGCTTATTCTAACATCATAATATTCGATAATATTCTAGTAACAACAAGTTAAACACAAAATTCAATGAAAATTCGTCATTTGAAATAATCCAATCGTAAATTCAAGATGAACATAACCTAACTTGGCTACCCTTTCTTTTTATTCCTCAACATTTGAGTTTAATTTTCTTACCCTTTAGTTGCTTGCTTGCTCGACTAGTTTTGATTCAAGTTAGAAGAGAAAAAAAGATCACGTTCGCTGACGTTGTCGACCTAATGCGAAAGTACTTAAATACGTGACGCGAAAAACAATGTTAAGATCGTACTACAGTTCAATGATAATTAGAATAGGATTGTTGGGGGATAGTAGTGGTGGTGTAGAGGTTAGGTTAATGGTTCGTTTAATTCGTTCATTTTATCCTTGTCTTTATTCCCATCTTTCTTTCTTTCAATTCTTTTCATAGTTTTTGAACCGAATCATTTCTTTGAATTATCCTCGATGTAATTATTATTTACCCCCTATCCCACCTAACCTTCTACCTTTTTCATTTTAACCTTCTTGAATATTTGCTTGCTTGTTTACATTTGTGCTGACTTTTTGTTTTTGTATAATAAAATAAAAAGAATTAACTGAAAGAAACTAAAGGGCATCAGATATATATATATATATATGTTATTGAAATTTGTGTAATAAAAAAAGAAGGGAGGAAAAAAAAGGTAAAAATCGATACTATTGGGAGAATTTTATTGTAGGAGAAGTAATGGTTAACTTCTCCCCTCTATTTTCAATGGGACCATTTAATCTAGACCGTAGTAAAACTCTTCTATAGAAGATTTATCACGTTCACTGGATAAAAAGATACACGTTAGTAGTAGCCCCCTATATGGGATTATATATATATATATATTGTATATAATTATATTAGGTTATAACTAATATATAACCTATATATTATAGGTTATATATAAATTAATAATATAAAATATATCATAATATATTTACATATATTTTACCTTTATATATATTTATATATATACTTTATCTACTAATATAGGTTATGTATTATATAGCCTATATTATAGGTTATATAATATATAATGTAACCTATATAACTATATTAGGTGTGTTATATATTAATTTTACCTATTAATATAGGTTATATATTATATAACCTAATATAGGCTATACAATATATAATATAACCTCTCTAAACTATATTAATATAGGTTATATATTATATAGACTATATTAGGTTATATACTATATAATATATAGCCTATATTAGGTTGTATAATATATAATATAACCTATAAACTATATTAATATATAAAATACAATAAATAATATAATATTAATAATACAAATATAATATATAACCTATAACATATTAATTTATATAATAAATATAACCTAATTTATAGGTTATATATAGAATATATGTATATATTTTATACAGTTAATAATTTCTAAATATACAATATGTATATTATATATAATATATTAAATTAATATATTATATTATAATATATATATATATATATATATATATATATATATATATATATATATATATANTAAATATAACCTAATTTATAGGTTATATATAGAATATATGTATATATTTTATACAGTTAATAATTTCTAAATATACAATATGTATATTATATATATATATATATATATATATATTATATTATAATATATATATATATATATATATTTTTTGTTCAATATATAAATAATAATTTTGTTAACACTTATAGAAATATTATAGGTTAGGATTTTGTCAAGATTACACATTGATTATTATAAACTATGATATATAATATAATATTTTATTATAAATATTCCTAGAATTATTATATCAATCTTTATAATACTGATCAATCATACATTGATTCATTTCTTTTTTTTTATTAACTTTTTTTTTCTTCAAATGTTATACAATCAAAAATGGTTGGAAAAAAAAAAAGTATTGACCCGATAAATAAGAAAACTTCACGCGTAGGAGAAATTTGTTCTTAACGTCATCGTTATATTTTCAAGCATTTTTCTTCTTTTTATTTTTTTTTTTTTTTTTTTAACAAATGAAGGATAGTTATATCCTTTAAAATTTATATCCAAATCCTTGAAGAAATTTTCTTTTCTCTCATAGGATATATATCTTTGTTCTCGGTATAAGTCTGTTCCTAGTAAATGCGATTAAATATTTGATTTTAAACGATTTCTATTTTTCTTTCGTAAAAAAACAAAAAAGAAAATAAAAGTAGTTTTTTCTTTTCCCCCCCCCCCAAGAAAATATAAGGTAAAATAAGGTAAAGGAATAAAGCAAAGAAAAAGAAACCCAAAAAAAAAAAAATGGAAACAGACAAAAAGTACGAAAAAGAATGTACCTATCTACACACACATACATACACACATACATACACACAGACACACATTGCTGACAAGGATGTATTTTTATCCGCGAAACAGTTTTATATCCCCCATAGATAAAAAAAAAAAAAAAAAAAAACATCGAGAGGATTACAATAGCTGAGAGAAAAATATATCCAATCGATAAAAGTTTATCCTTTAAAAGATGAAGATGAAGATGAAGATGAAGAAGAAGTAATAGTAGTAGTGGTAGATAAAAAAAATAATATTTTTTCTTTTAATCATCCCACACAACTATAAAGAAACATACACCACAAATAGGAACGTTGTTAAATCCCCACTCACCCCTATAAGTTTATAAAACAATCCTCTCATTATTAATCTTTGTATAAAGAAACACAAAACGAAGTTTTTGAAAAAAACTTAGGTTAGGTTAGGATCAATTAAAACGTAGGACTTTGAAATTTGTTAGTTTAAAATACTGGTAACCAACAACCACCATTTTTTATAGTTTACCCTCACTCACCCCCATAAGTTCATAAAACAATCCTCTCATTATTTATCTTTGTATAAAGAAACACAAAACGAAGTTTTTGAAAAAAACTTAGGTTAGGTTAGGATCAATTAAAACGTAGGACTTTGAAATTTAGCTAGTCTACAATACTGGTAACCAACCACCACCGTTATCATGGTTTACCACTACCACCACCACCATTGGTGTAAAAGGACGGGTTGGATTGATATACGATTCTCTTTGAACATTGGATTGATATATGGTTGAGATAGACTACTTCTTGTAGGACATTAACCCTTGAAATTCGGTCAGGTATAAACCAAACCTTTTAGGTTAGGTTAGTAATTTACTCGCTATATTTACTTGCCAAATATTCTTAATGTTCTTCCTTTTTTTTTCAAATAATTTTATTAGACGAATATATAAGATGATTGTTAAACATTTGTTTTATTTTTTATTACGTGACGCGTTAACTACAATAATCAAAACACGTAATACTAGAGTCAATCTTCGAATAATATAATTCGATATATACGTAAATTTTAGGTTAGGTTAGGTTAGTAACTAAGTTGCCATATTTACTTGCCAAATATTCTTCCTTTTTTTTCAAATAATATTTTATTGGACGAATATTTAAAAAGATTGTTACATTTTTGTTCTATTTTTTTTTTTTTTTTTNTTTTTTTTTTTTTTTTTTTACGTGACGCGTTAACTACGGTAATCAAAACACATAATACTTGAGTCAATCTTCGAATAATACTGGGGGAAAAATTTCAAATGCTTAAAAAAAGCTAAACAAAACATTGTATAATTTTTATGCATTATACTTTAATCGTCCGAGATTTTCTAGAATCAAAAGTAGATTTTAAATATAATACGAGTAATATTATTCAAGAGGGTGTGTCGAAAAGACAAAATGTAAATATTTTCCTCGCAAGTTTGTCAATAAAAGTATAACTCTATGTTAATGGTCGGGGTAGTTTGTTTTAGGGAATTAAAAATGGACGACTTGTAAAGCTGGTGTCGATAAGAAGGCTTTTATGGTGGTGTTGAGATATTCAGATTTAGTAGTCTTACAATGATGTATACACTGATTACAATAACAATAACAATAATAATAATAGTAGAACAGAACAATAAATATAAAAACGTTGAATGAAACTTAAAAAAACAAATAAAAACTTTATTACATAATTACATAACCTCAAATTAATATCATGGTTTACTTTCAAGATTATTAAGATAATAAAGTTAAAAAAAAAAAAAGATGAATTAATACTTTGCAACATTTATCGAAATCTTAAAGTGAATACAATATTATAAAAAAAAATAAATAAAACATTGTTACATAATTACATAACCTCAAATTAATATCATTACAATTTACTTTTGAGATTATTAAGATAATAAGTTTAAACAAAAAATACAGAATACTTTGCAATGTTTATCAAACTCTTCAAGCGATTACAATATTACCGTTGAACCGTTGTTGAGATAAGAATAGTAAAGATATATTATTCTTTTGCCAGTGGCACCATTATGTTGGCATCCATTTTGTCATTACACGTTGGGAAAATGGCTTTTCTTTGGTAGAGACCGAATCAACGCCACCGA